TGTTAAAATATATTGTAAATATTTACAAAACTGTACATCCTACAGTATTTTTACAGTCTTTATTTTACAGTTAAAATATATGTTTATCAAATAAAGTCTAATGTTACAACTAATCAGGGATCCCTTTAAAACCATTTTAAGCTGGCTGGAACTGGGTTGACTCCAAAGGTCAATCAGCTGTCYATGTAATCCAGTTTACTTTCTGAGGATGAGAGTTTGCACGGCTGTTTTTTTAGGTTTGCCTCTGCAGCTCTACGGTGCTTACCACATATTTGACAGCGCTGACGAACTGATTGTGAAAGAGTAAATGCTGAGCTTCATCCTCAGCGTTGGCAGCAGTGTAGAGCATCCCACACCCACTGCAGGCCACGGGTCCAAAGTGTTTCTGTCCTGCATCCTGAGAAACAGAAGATGACACAGATCATCCAGCACATCCAAACATAAAACATTCACCTCTAATAATAATAAATATACTAATTTAAAAAAAAAGAAAAATAGCAAAAAAGAAAATCCAAAAAGTAACAAATTTAGCTACTCAACTATTTTTTTTTCAAATTGTTTTACTCACAATGATAGTTTGGGTGCCATCTTTGTCAGCCTCCTTAAGTTTATTCACCTCTTTTTGCAGAGAAGCATCGGAAAGAAAAGTCGCAGCATCCTGTGGCTTTGCTTCACTGCTGAGATCCAAACACATCAGATCACTACAACTTTCTCTTGGTAAGTGTATAAATATGCTGAAAAACYTGCAGGGAAGCTTCTTACTCCTGATAACGGTTTTCTGTCTTCTCCGTCGTCCTGTCTGCTTTGCTTTGAGAATCTGCTGAAGAATTAGGGGTGTCTGCGGAGAAACACGTGGGGGTGTAATTTTGGACACATAGTTAAAATTGATGTAAACAAGTTTTTTTTAAATTGTGGCAGACAACATTTAATCCAGGAATATATTTCAGTCTAAGCTCAATAAGTCCTATAAATAATCATGTGACAACAAAAATAACATACCAGCAGGACTATCTTCACTCTTCTTTTTGTTGTAMGAGCTCTCCACAGAAGGGGGAGATGAGGCAGGAAGTGATGACGGCYCATCAGCTGCATTCTGTGTATAAAAATAGGTCTTACTGTCAGTTGAGAGTTGCAAAGGTCGGTTGTGAAATTGTGAAACATAAATTTGGAGGTACCTTGCACTTTTCTTCTTCCTGTGACGGGGGGTTTTCCGTTTGCTGAGGCGCTGAAGCATCATCAGCTTCAGCAGCAGCAGGTTTTGTTTCTGTCGCAGCTGAACTGGCTGGTTGAGGGACTGCTGGTGCGTGCTGCTTTGTTAAATTTACACCAGCCGTTTGTGACGAGGGAGAAGCAGAAGCAGCAGGTTTGGTTTGGGCCGAAGCTGAAACGGGTTTGGACTGCGAAGCGGCCAAGGTTGGGGTCTTTAGCTGGGCGCTGGTTGAAGGGACGGGCTTTGATGAAGCTGCAGTCATGGGTTTCGACTGAGCGGCTGCTGTAACTGTAGGTTTTGGCTTTGCTGATTGTGGGGGAGCTTGAGCCGCAGTAGTGGGCCGTGACTGACTGGAGACCAGTACAGGAGGTGCAGTCTGAGGTTTGAGCTTTGCCTGGGTGGCAGGTTGTGATGAAACGGTGGGTTTTTGTGGAAGTTTAGCGTGAGCTGCGGGGCTCGGCTGGAGGCCGGGTCGGGGCGGCTGCGTGGGAAGGTTTGGCTTTAAGTGAGACACTAATAAAGAGTCATCATCATCGAGTTCAAAATCATCAAAAGAGTACTTGGGCCTGGGTTTATATGGTTTGTACTCCACGGGCTTCTGTTTTTGAGCATTAAGTCCATTAGGCATGGGGGGAGGCACAGCTGGGAGGGTCCTCTTGGATGATCTGGTAACTTTCGGAGCAGGTTTTGGAGCTACAGCAGTAGCCTGAGAAGCTTGAGCCTTACTTTGCCTGGTGATTCTCCGGTTTTCACAAATAGGAGCTTCAGTTTTAGTGGCTTCAGCTTTAACAGGTTCAGCTTTGGAGGGTTCTGRTTTAGTGGGCTCAGTTTTGGAAGGTTCTGCTTTAGTGGGCTCAGTTCTGGAAGGTTCTGCTTTAGTGGGTTCAGTTTTGGTAGCTTCAGGTTTAACGAGTTCAATTTCTAAATTTTCTGTTTTAATGGATTCTGCTTTGTCGGCTCCTGTTTTCACCAGCTCAGAAGTAGAAGTCTCAACTTTGAGGGGGTCTCCTTTTGCTTGAGCAGGTTGGGTGGTTGTTGCAGGACTTGCAGAGGATGTTTTRGATGGACTGGCTGCTGCTGGTGGAGGAGTTGTAGAACCCATTAAAAAGCTGCCAGAAAACGATGCCTGCCAGTCCACGTCTGAGAACATCTGGTTTGTRTGGTCAGACTTAAGCTTCTTGACGCGGGCCCAGGACATTTTCTCTCTCTGCAGTTCAACCCGTCTCAGTCTCTGATATCGAGTTAGCTTCTTTTTCTCGTGAGCTTTTAGAGGCACTGAAATCTGAGAGATGAAAAAACGTCTTTTTGGAGGCTCTGCAGCTGGTTTGGTTTCAGCTGAATCAGCTGTCGAAGGCTGGGCAGCAGGCGGCTCTGGAGTGGGGGTCACAGAAGCAGAGCTCTCCTCGGATCCAGCGGGGGTCACTAAAGGATCTGGTTCTGCTTCTTGTGAGATGACAGCTGGATGCTCCTTCTCAATGGCTTCTGCTTTAGCTGCCTCGGCTGCCGCCGCCGCTTGTTTCTCTTCTTCTATTTTCTTCAACAACATGCTGTCTGTGGCAATGTCCTCTGCGATTTCCTGACACAGGGCTAAAAGGTTCAGCTGCTGTCGGTTTGCTGATCTCTTCGCCGCTGCYGCCTTCTGCTCAGCCAAAGCTGCTAGACGGGCTTTGGTTCTTGCTTGCATATTCATTTCTTGTTTCTTGGGTTTTTCAACCTCTTGCCCCCTTCGCTCATTTTCAGTCTTTTCAGCACTTGTCGTCATTGCGATCTTGCTTGTATCCTGTATCTTTTCATCATTTACTTTCTCTTTGGACGTTTCAGGAGGCTGATCCGGTTGTACTGTTATTATTACAATATCACTGTCGCCGTCATTGTCTTCCTCTATCACGACAATCTCACGGCCGATCTCCATATCCTCCAGAATCTGCACTTGTTCTTGGTCCACAACGCTTTCAACCGTCTCCATCACTGCTGCATTACTGTCTTTATTTGTGTGACCAGAGTTTGCCGTGTRTACATCCACAGAGGCAGATGGTGGCAGGTGGTCAGAAACTGGGGCATCTTGAAGGTGGTTTGCCTCCATCTGCTGCTCCAAAACCTCACCTGAGCTGGTTACTGTAGTTTCTTTGACCTCGTCAGCTGTTTCACCTTGATGTGCCTCGGCCTCGAGCATTTCAGTCTGCTGGGCACTACTTAAAATGCTTTGACTCGTCATCTCCTCGTCTGGACCGAGAGATGCAGATAGACCCGACTCAGCTGCAGCCTGAGTAACAATGTCGAAATGAGCCTCACTCTCTGGAACGTGGACAGTTTCTAAGATCACATAATCTTCAGATGGAACATCTGTTATTTCATCTTCAGTCMGGGCTGGAGTTGTTGTCGTCGTCACGACGTCTGTGGCGTCTTGAACTCCAGTGCCTTCCTGCACCTGCTCAGTTAACTCTGCTGCACTTACACACTGCAGAATGACAGTCTTTTCTGTGGCGTCTTGTGATTGYCCGTCTGCCAAACTGATGTCACTTGACCCGATTGCAGTGATGTGTTTCACATCTTCGGTCGTGTTACTCWGCTCCGAGTGTGCATGTGCAGGACACAGTGCCTCGCTCGTAGTTTCAACCTCCATCAGAACTACTGCTTGGCTGTCTGAGGCGCAAATGTCTTTCTTTACAATTTCCTCATCTTCTAGTTTAGGGTGGGTTGTTTTTAGTTTATCATCGCTAGTTAAAAAGTTTGATCCGTCGTCTAGTATTTGATGGGTTTCTGCGCTGTGTAAATCCAGAAAAGAAATGGTTTCACCCAGCTGTATCGTACAAACTTCTCCACCACTGTTACTCTCTGGACTACTAATAGGCTCATATACAACYTGGTTTTCATGAAAGTCGACCTCAGATTGATTAACCGTCTTAATCTGCTCTTCTGGTGCCTGAACAGCAACTTCAGTGTCTTCTGATTGGTCACAAATAAAAACAATAACTTCATTTCTTTCAGTCCCGTCTTCAGTATTACTGACAGATTCAGCTATTTTTATATCTTCCAACAATACAGATTCTGTCCTTTCTTTTGATCCACATATTACATCCCCTTGGACATTCTCGTTTTCCGTTTGTCTGCCATTTTCTTTATTTTCTAAGTGAACGGGACTCGGTGTCTGAATTTCATCAGATACATCTGTGGTGTGTTCAGTGGTCTCCTTTGCCAGATGGTTTTGTTGCTCTACAGCTGCTGAATAAGAAATCTCTCTTGATTCTGCAGAAGATTCCATGTTGGTTTCAAACTCTGGAACATTCTCGCACTCAGAAGCATCTTTGTCTTCATTTCTATACACCTGACCATCCTCCTCATTTCTCTGGTTCCGAAGTGCTGAATCAAGCTTCTGATAATTCTCTGGTGTCGATGATGTCTGCCATGCTATTGTTGGGTGATTTTCAAAAGTACTAACAGAATCTACGTTTTTGTCGTTTTCAGGATTAATAGGATTGTTTTTGACTTCAGTGTCAGTGCTATGTTCACAGACCTCCTGATTGCTTTGGTTTTGTGACTGCTCTGTAGTTGCTGGTTGAGAAACCTCCTGCAGTAGTTGGGCTGGTTGCGTTTCCATTTCATTAGTCCTTTCAGCACTGTGGACACATTCTTCAATAGCCCCAATCTCATTTTCATTTGGAGGAATCTTGACATTTTCCTGGTTAGTTGTAGAGAAGTCATCTGTAGGCTCTGTGATGCTGATCTTCTGGATCTTTGTCTCAGCTGAAGGTGCTGAAACTGACATATCTGCAACTGTGGTGAGTTCACTGACCTCATCAGCTCTCTGGTTTTGTGTTTGTTCTGTGCTTGGTTGAAAAATCTCCACTACCGCGTCTGTTTGTACTTCCATTTCATATATCGGCTCAGCAGTGTCGACACATTTATCAATAACCTCGTGCTCATTTTCATTAGTCTCATTTGGAGGAATTGTGAATTTTTCCTGCGTTGTTTTAGACAGATCACTTGCAGGTTCTGCAACAGTGATCCTCCTCTCCATCTCTGCTTCAGCTGAAGGTGGTGAAGCAGAAATATTTGTGTTTATGGTGAGTTCACTGACCTCCTGACCTCTCAGGTTTTGTGTTTGTTCTGTAGCAGTTGGTTGAGAAGCCTCGAATGACATTTCTGCTGCTTGCGTTTCCATTTCGTTCGTTCCCTCGACAGTGTCCACAGATTTTTCAAGAATCTCGTTCTCATTATTGTGAACCTCATTTGAGGTAATGCTGAAAATAGTCTGTACAGTTTCAGATACTTTTACTTCACTCTCAACATTGAGGCTTTTCTGGATTTGTATTTCAGTTGAAGGCGATGAAACAGAAACGTCTGTGGTGAGTTCACTGACCTCCTGACCTCTCAGGGTTTGTGTTTGTTCTGTAGCAGTTGGTTGAAAAATCTCCCCCACCGCTTCAGTTGTTTGTATTTCCATTTCACTTGTCACCTCAGCAGTGTCAGCAAATTCTTCAATGGCATTTTTTACATTTTTGTGACACTCGTTTAAAGGAATCCTGAAAACTTCCTGAACAGATCCAGATGTGTTTGTTGACGCTTCACTYATGTCGAGACTTATGTGAATCTGTGTTTCAGCTGGGGCTGGTGAAACACAAACATCCGTGTCTGTGGTGACTTCACTGACCTCCTGATGTCTCAGAGTTTCTGTTTGTTCTGTAATTGTTGGTTGAGAAACCTCTAATGTTTCTGCTGCGTGTATTTCCATTTTGTGTGTCCTCTCAGCAGTGTTGACACATTCCTTGTTCTCATTTTCATGATCATTTGATTTGATCATTTCAGATGCATCATTTGCAGAGTCTGTGACACTTGAGTTCATCTGGATTTGTGTTTCAGATAAAGACAGTGAAACAGAAATATTTGTGTCTGTGGTGAGTTCACTGACCTCTTGACCTTTTAGGTTTTGRCTTGTTTCTGAAGTTGTTGGTTGAGAAGCCTCAAATGACATTTCTGCTGCTTGCYTTTCCATTTTGTTCGTTCCCCCGGCAGTGTCRACAGATTTTTCAAGTATCTCGTTCTCATTGTGAACCTCATTTGAGGTAATGCTGAAAATAGTCTGTACAGTTTCAGATACTTTTACTTCATGCTCAACATTGAGGCTTTTCTGGATTTGTATTTCAGATGAAGGTGATGAAACAGAAACGTCTGTGGTGAGTTCACTGACCTCTTGARCTTTCAGGTTTTGATTTGTTTCTGAAGTTGCTGGTTGTGAAACCTCAATTGACATTTCTGCTGTTTGCGTTTCCATTTTGTTTGTCATCTCATCATCAACATGTTCTTCAGTGACCTTACTTTCATGACACTCAGAGGGAATCTTGAAACTTTCTTGACCAGTTTTAGACACTTCACTTGCAGGATCTGTGATGTCAAAGCTTCTCTGAATCTGAGTTTCAGGTGGAGGAGGTGAAACAGAACTGTCTGAGTCTGAYGTGAGTTCACTGACCTCTGGACCTCTCTGGCTTTGTGTTTGTTCAGTYGRTGTTMGTGGAGAATCCTCTTTTAGCATTTCTGCTGTTTGCGTTTCCATTTTGTTTGTCATCTCATCATCAACATGTTCTTCAGTGGCCTTATTTTCATGACACTCATTCGAGGGAATCTTGAAACTCTCTTGACCAGTTTTAGACACTTCACTTGCAGGATCTGTGATGTCAAAGCTTCTCTGAATCTGAGTTTCAGGTGGASGAGGTGAAACAGAACTGTCTGAGTCTGAYGTGAGTTCACTGACCTCTGGACCTCTCTGGCTTTGTGTTTGTTCAGTYGRTGTTMGTGGAGAATCCTCTTTTAGCATTTCTGCTGTTTGCGTTTCCATTTTGTTTGTCATCTCATCATCAACATGTTCTTCAGTGGCCTTATTTTCATGACACTCATTCGAGGGAATCTTGAAACTCTCTTGACCAGTTTTAGACACTTCACTTGCAGGATCTGTGATGTCAAAGCTTCTCTGAATCTGAGTTTCAGGTGGASGAGGTGAAACAGAACTGTCTGAGTCTGAYGTGAGTTCACTGACCTCTGGACCTCTCTGGCTTTGTGTTTGTTCAGTAGCTGTTGGTTGAGAGACGACCTCCAACATTTCTGCTTTTTGTGTTTCCATTGTGTTTGTCCACTCAGCAGTGCCAACACTTTCTTTGATAACCTTGTTCTCATTTTCATGACACTCATCGGAGGGAACCRCGAAACATTCCTGGACAGTTACAGATGCGTCATTTTCAGCTTCTGTGACATCGGAGCCCTCCTGGATGGGTGTTTCAGGTGAAGTCTGTGAAACAGAAATGTTTGTGTCTGTGGTGAGTTCACTGATCTCCTGCCCTCTGTGGCTTTCTGTTTGTTTTGTAGGTGTCGGTTGAAAATTCTTCTGTAGTCCTTCAGCTGCTTGCGTTTCCATTTCGTTTGCCCTCACTGCAGCAGGAACACATTCTTCAAGAGCCTTGTTTTCATTTTCAAAACTCTCGTTTGTGGAAGTCCTGAAGTTTTCCTGGACCTGTTCAGAAACATCTGTTGAAGAGTCCATGATGTCGAAACTCCTCTGGTTTTGTGTTTCAGCTGAAGGTGGTGAAAATGATGTCTCCATTGTGTTTTGACTCTCTTCATCAGCTACAGACTGTGTGTCTGTATTTTRCTCACTGACATCATGGCTCTTTAGAGTTTGTATTTCCACTGCAGGAATGTTACAATCTTGTTCTGATGTTGTTACAGTCAGCAMATCCATTTCATTTTGGCTTTTCTGTATTTCCTCAGAACGATTTGCTCCAGAAATCACTGAATCCGGTGTAATCTGCATTTCTGATTCAACCTGAGCCTCTTGTACACTCACACACTCTGAATTTACTGCATGCTTCACATTTTCAACTATTTTATCTTCAAGAAGCTCTTCATCTGTGTTGTCTGTTGTTTCTCCACTGACATCCTGGATTTTCTGAGTTTGTGTTTCAACCCCAAAAGCTGCACTAAAACCATTATCAGGTGCCTGCATGTCCTCTTCTGTTTGGCTTTTATTTATGTTCAACGAAGGAGCTGAATTTGAACTTTCCATAGACAATGTGGTTTCCACTTCCATTTGATTCGAAGTTCCAGCAGGAGATTCAAATTTAAACTCATCGTTTGCAACCGTTTTCAAATTTTCTTCACGGTGATTCCCAAAAACGTCATCTGATGTGTCTGTGGTAGATTCACTGACCATCTGGCTTTGCATTACTTCTACTAGTGCAACATTGTCCGATGCTGAAGTGTCTACATCTACTTCTATTTGATTCTGGAAAACGGCAGAAACACATTTAACATATTTGCTGCTCKTAAAAGCTGCATCCTCCACATCTGAGTAAGCATCGTCAGGTGTATCTGTGGTGGGTTCGCTGACCATTGGAGTTTGAATTTCATCTATATGAGCAATGGTTGAGACCTTTTCTAGAGTGACTGCAGCCTGTATATCTTCTACAACTTCAGTTTGACTCTGAGCCGCACAGTTAGGGTTTTCCAGAACTTTCTGAGCTTCGTCATGCATATTAGCTGTGGATTCACTGACTGTTGAAGTTTGCATCTCTTCTATATGAGCAATGTTTGAGACCTCCTCAGAAGTGGCGTCAGAAAGTTCATCAAATTCTATTTGACTCTGAGTGGCACATATGTCTATGGTGCGTTCACTGACCTCCTCATTCATCTGACTATGTGTTTCCTCCACCTGTGAGCAGACTTCCTCTGACATTGCTGCAGTTTGAATGTCTACTTCTATTAGATTCTCAGCTGTAACATCAACATTGCTCCTGCCTTTAGAATTTGCATTCTCTGGACTTTCTTGACCGTCATCAGGTACAACCGCAGGGTGTTCATTAACAGGGCTCTCCTGGGTTTGCAATTCTACTTTAGCTGCTGGATCAGAAAGCTTGAATGCTGCGACAGTTTCCGTTCCACTTTGACCCTCGGCTATAACAGCACATGCAACAGTTTTCATGTTTTCACATTTATCAGCAGCAACACTGCCATGAATGTCAGAAGACGTGACTGTAGTGGATTGGCTCACCTCCTGGATTTCCTGCTTTTGCGTTTCCACTGGAGGTTCTGAATTAGAGATGTCTGGAGTTACTGCAGTCTCTGCTCCACTCTCACCATCCACAGTGTCCTCATTTTCCATAGTTTTAAAATTGTCCCCACTGTGACCCTCGTGAAAATCAGTGGTAGATTCAGAGGCATCCAGGTTTTGTGTTTTTACTGTAGCGTCTGGATGAGACGTCTGTGCATCGCCTTTGATTTCTGCAGCAGAACACTGGATGCTCTTGTCCTTCTCTTCGCCTATGTTTGAAGAGTCTCTCTCTATTTCAGCAGCTACTTGTGTTGCTTTGTCATAAATCAGGCAATTCTCTTCACTTTGTAAAACCACTTCAGGTGTTTGACCCTCAGGAACTTCAAAATTGTCAGAAAGCATCTCTATTTGATTTTGAACAACCATACATTCAGATAAAGTGTCTGCACAGCCATCAGGTGTCACAATGCCATGATTCAGGTGCACTTCAACTAAAGCTTCAGAACAAGCAGAAGTCTGAGGAGGCTGGAAGTCAACACCATCTCTAGCACTTTCTTCAAACTTGTCCTCATACTTTTCAAGTGTGTCTGGCATCTCAGCTTGAATATCTGTAGCGTTAAAATCCTCTTTTGAAGCTACTTGATCACTGAGTTCTATTTGAGTATTTGGAGTAGTAGCAAACTCAGCCATTTTTACGTTTTCCTCAGGTTGACCCTCTACATTACTAATTTCTACCTGTTCTGGAGCAGTTTCATTTAACAGGACTCCATCTAGATTTTCTGTGCAGATTTCAGCAGATTCAGATACTTCCTGCTCCTTGGTTTTGCTTTTTATATTCTGCTCATTCTCTTCAGAAACAAACGGTGTAATCAGGTGAGTCTGGCTTGCTGATCGGCAAGCTGAATCAGCTCTTTCATCTCCAAGCTGTGCACCTTCATCACTTGAATGTAGCTCTCCAGTAACAGCACATAGTGTTTTCTCCGGCAATGCTAGTGTATTATCTACAGCTTTTTGGCTTTTGTTGAGCTGCGTTTCTTCTCGTTTTTCATTCTCCTCACCCACAGGCATGATGCAGTCTGACATGTCTCGAGAAAATGCTGGTGTTTTACTATCCACGAGAGTTGGGCTTTCTGGATATTGTAATTCCACATATTTACCTTTTTCATTTGCAGACTCGACTTCAACGCTGGTCTTAGTGCTCCCTATTTCTGAGACTAAAGTGTCTGTCGGCACCTTTTGTGTTTCATCATGTGAAATTTCTTCGCTCTTTTGCTCAGTAAAAGACTCTGAAGAATCTTTATCTTCAGCCTCCCCAGTGTTTTCAAGTGAAGTGGACTCTGAAAATCTACCATAACTGTGGTCTTTCTGCACAGGATCCAAAGGTGAGGATGATAGATCTTGGCTCAGTTCCTGTGGATCAGAAGATGACTCTTCAGCGCTGCACATAGCTTTAATTTTGTTGGAGTATATTCTGATGCAGCGGGCCTTGTCTTCATTGTCTCTCTCTTTAAATAAGTCCATCTTACTACTATCGCTACTTAGAACTTCATCAGAGTCAGTGGAGGCGGTTCGCTTCACAGAAACTTTAGAGTTTGCCCTCTGTGAGGGAGTTTCTCCACAGGAGGCACTTGTGGCGTTCAGGAGCCTGGCTTTTTTCACAGGTGGGTCAGGGGCTGTTTTGCTGGATTCCTTGGTAGGAGAACTTTGGTTGGATGATTTGTCTGGTGAATTTTCCTGCTCCACAGCCAGCCGTTTTTTCTTAGTCTGTGGGGCTGCTGCAGTGTTTTCTGGTTTGAAGGAATTGGAAGTGGGTTCYATTGTGGCTGGCAGAGTTTCTTCATCCTCATCCAACTTTCTTATCTTGGGCTGTAAATCCGGAGAAGCTGATCCTCTCTTTGGGGCAGGCATTCTGTAAAAATATTTACTTATTATTAACATTTATTTGATCACAGAAAAATATTTTTACATGTTGAAGTAATGGCTGTACCGTGTACAGTCTCTGTAACTAATGGCTTACTTGCTGATCCAATGAAACCTAAATCTCTAAAAGTATAAATGAAAAAGCTGCACATTTAAAATAAACAAAATCCCACTTACACAGTTCATACACAAATAACAAAAGACCAACCAGAATACATGAAAATGGAAAAAAAAATATTGATCAGACTATAAGTTGCTCAATGATTACAGATAGCTTTGTTTCAGCAGTGCAAGAAAAATATCTAGTAAATCTCTGGACGAAAAAAAGAAAAACATGCAAGTTGTTATACAGCTGCCAATTAAAAAATTAATAAATAGAACTGCTTCGAGCCACTTTATATCGACATTTTTGCGATATCTTATTTTATTACAGTGTAACAAGATAAAATGTTCAACGATTGCATATAAAATGCATGATACACTCTTTTAAAATGTGTTGTCTGTTTTTATACATGCAACAAGCCTGGCTAGCGGTGGACACAACAAAAACCGGACTTAAAGAGATGCCTCGAAAGTTACACATTGTACCATCAAGATTTCCTCGCTTATATATCACGTATACAAGCTTTCCAAGTGATTGTTTAAGAGAGAACAGATCCTGATGTCAGTCTGAGCGGAGCAGGCAGCCAGAAACCGAGGGTTAGCTGGTATTAGCTCAGGAAGCTAACGCTAGCTGCTGCCAACTCGCAACAAATGAGCGCAGCGACACTCGCAGCCAAACTGAGTCCAAAGAGCGAAGCAGAGGTTTCCGCCGAGGGCTATGGATGATACCAACATTTACCAGAAGGTAGAACCGCGATAATAAGCCCCGAGAAACTTACTTTGATGTTGTGTTTTTCAACTGCAGCTGTGTTTTTTTTCTCCCCGTGAATAAAAATTAACTGTACTTCCGGAGAGAAACGGCGGATGTGACGTACTGAGCGCACAAACCGCAAACGAAGCCAAGATTTATTCAACCTAATTTTTTTGTATTAACAAATCAATGGCACCTTTAATTTGACATTTTTTGTCAAATAATAAAAAAATAAAACTAATAAGACAAATAGCGACGTTCTTCTTCTGGTCAAATTTACCCTGACTTTGTTTGTGACTTGGTTTAACTGATTATCAGAGTAAATAACGCGATTAACTTGCTCATTATTCAATCAAACTTCTGTTTCCATAAATTTAGATTATCATTTTATAAGCAAACTTTTATTGGACTAAATTTGTATTTATTAGTTTAGTAGGAGTATGTTTTTTTATTGTAGTTTTCAATGGCCAAAAATAAGAAGGAAAAAAAGGATTACAAAATGTAAAACAAACCCTACAGAGCCCGGGCTCCATTCAAACCAACTGAAAGAACAAAGCTTATTTTATTTAAAGCTATCAGCTAGTTCTTGTGTTTTTTTTTTTAAGTGAAGACAATTATTAAAAATCCTAACAAGTAAACTACTCTTATAAATTTCATTACAGCTCTGGATTCCAAACTTCAACATTTTATTCTCTTTTTTTTACCTGATTGAGTCAGGATTTACCTACACCACATGTAGAAGAACACATGCAGTACAATCTGATTTAAAAAAAAAAACAAAAACACATAGACATGTGACTTTATTATTATTATTTTCATCAGAAAATCATGTTAGTGGCAAGCTGAACAAGGCACAGCACTTTACAGTTGCAACAGTCCTGGAGAAATTTTTAGCATTTTTGCACATACACAGTTTAGTTACTAAGGGAAATGGATTTTTATTATTGGTGAACTGAGGAGAAAATATAAATAAAACAAAAAGCACAATATTGTTTAGCGGATACACAATTGTTATTTTTTCATCTCCAGTATTCCACTTCCAGGTCCTCGCTTCTTTGCACTACAGATGTTACAAAACTGCATTCCAGGAATCTGCAACAAAAATAAATAATGTAAAAAATGTAAAAATCATGGTAAAAACTGTAAGATTCTCAACAACACCAACTTTAAGAGTTTGAGCTTTTGAAATGCCCACTTACTGTTCCTGAAGARGGTAAACACTCCTTGTGAAACATGTGTCTGCAGTGAAACACCACCACACTGAAAGGCTGGGCCATATCTGAAACACAAGTGAAATGAATTCAATAACAGCAAAATAACTTTTTTAAAACAGATCAACTGAATGCAACTACACTAACAGCCCACCTGAGGGTAATATTGTGCCGTGACATGACTCACAAATGTTTCCCTCTGAAATAATGAACAAAACAAACGATTTTCAGACTAGTCCCATAGATTTCACTGTTTCAGTATAAACAACCAGTAAGAGCTGCTCCCACCATCGACCCTGACTCCTCTCATCTGCGTTCGCTGCATCTTCTGGAGCAGAGAAAGAGAGTCCGCCACCAGGATCTTCTTGCACCCTTCCCTCAAAAGAATCTTACAGATAAAAGAAAAAATATATAAATAAATAAAAAGGCTAGTCTATAAAAAAGAAAAAAAATTAAAATTTCTGTTCAATTTGAAAGAAATGGAAAAACTCAACTAACCTGTAGGTTGTAGTCATGGAGGATTTTCACCAGTGAATCTCTGAGGTTTGGGATCTCCATGCCTTCTTTTATGCGCTTGATGAGCAGAATGGGATCTACGTGAGTGCCGATATTATTGAGGAGGCCGGTAATGAATGCTGCAAACAACAACAACAAGAAGATGTGAAGTGAGAGATTAAGATGTTGAGATAAATGCTCAGAGTCGCTCGACGCCTTACGTGGCTTGTCAATCGAGTAAGAGATGAGGTCCTCCCACAGCTCTGCGTCGTCTTGCTCTTTAGCGAACTCGATGGCCTTGTCCACGTCCTCCAGCTCCTCCATGATCATCTGCAGAGCTCGTCTACAGTTTCCCATCCTGCCTGTGAGCAAAGAGCTGCATTAATTACTCTCATTTCCAGAAACAAACACTTTCATCTCCAAATACTTACTGAGCAAGAAGACAGTCTCTTCCACAAAGTTCCTCTGCTGACAAATCTCAAGAGCCTGAATGCGAGGAGACAGCATTAAACTAAGACAAAATGACAAATGTTTTACAGATGAATTAGAATCTGGATGCATAGCAGGGCGTACCTTTTCAAGAGGGCAATGAGTGCTATCCCTCAAAAAAGGCAGGAGGTTTGGACGGTCATATTCAGCGTACAGACCAATCTGTCTCTCGTGGAACCTCTGGCCTTTGTGATGATCCCGCTTGAACAGTTTATGGAGGTACTGAAGAGGGAAAACACATTAACCAACCCTATATATGACACTAGGCACTGCAACTTCTAAATCTCACTCAGCTCACCACATGCAGCAGCTCAGGCCTGCCATCTAGTTCCTCCACCACCCTGTCAATCTGTTAGAAGGGCAAAGAGGAAGAAATCAATTGCAGCATCATTTTTATTAAAATGACAAAAAAATTAATAAAAACAGCCACTTACAGATATCTTGTCTTCGTTGTCGAGAAGCATGTCAACAGCTTTCTAAAAGCACCAAATTGAACATTTTCATACTTAAATAGACAAAACAGCCTGCTGGTTAAGACTGTAACATAACGTTTTTACCTCTTTATCAAAGTCCATCAGGAGGACAATTTTATCCTCTATGGAGGAGAACAGGTTGTGTTTGTGGATCAGCTGATAAACATCTTTGTGTCTCAGTCTCAGGTAGATTTCTAAGGCTCTGTCGTACCTCTGGTCATAAGTGTACCTGAGACAACAAGTTCTCTAATGACTTAACATGAAGTCAAAATTACCAGAAAACACTTTTGTTTTCCAGAATTCTATAAAAATGCATTTTAATAACACAAAATGATTTTACCAGTGTTGTAAAGAAGAAACTTTTTAACGTAATGTTAAGTGACTCACAGCTCAGCCAGTGTGGTGAGCAGCGTGCTGTTGGTGGGATCCCTCTTCAGGTGATCGCTCACGGCCTGAACAATGGCCATGTTGTTGTAAAGCTCTCCAGGCCACTCTCGGATCAGTGTGGCAAAACCCTTTATAGAGAGAGATAGAAAAAAAGAAGTAATTTCTGCAACTCTGTGTTCTTCAAATATAAAGACTATAAAAAGACAAAATACCTCATAGTCCGTTTTTAGAAATTCATGCAGGATCATTTCATAGATGGCCGGTCTGAGACGCAGATCTCCTCTTGGTAAATATTGACTGATGGCCTGAAAAAACAGACATTGAGATTTTAATGTTTTCATAACCAACATTACATTCATACTTACAGAAATGTAAATTACAGACGTTCAAATGTACCTTCAGCTGCCCGATGGTCTTAAACCTGTATACTTCATTCTCCCACAGCTCCATGTTTTTTCCAAGAACTTTTTGACATTTCCTGCAGTGATAAAATAAATAATATTCATGATTTAAACAACAATTATTTAAGGGTGCAACAATACAGAAAATTCACAGTTTGGTTCGATACTTAAGTCTCATGGTTCGATATTTTTTAAATGCAAAAAAGACAAATGTCCATGCCTTTCTTAACATGTAACTTATTGAAATTAATTATGAACATTTGCTGAACCTCAAAAGTAAAGTTTTTAAATGAAATGTTGCTGAAACAGCAAGTTTCTCAGTGGATCTGCACTAGACAAGCATCCTAAGTGTAGTTGAATAGATCCACTGAGCCTTCAACACAGCGCAGCTTCAGCAAGTTGAAAAAATAAATTTTAAAAATCTGTATTGCTCCATATATAGTGTGTATTGAACCTAAAGCACTGTACTGAATGGTTTGATACAGAGACACTTTTTTAAATAGACCAAAGGAAATATTTAATTAGGCCCCACATTTTAGAGAGTTTTCAGATATGACTATGTGTAACAAACACAGTGTGATAACTTGTCAAAACAATTGCCCTTTTAACATTTTTAAATCATTTTTTTCCTTTCTTCCTTTTTAAATATGGACCAGAGTTCTGTGTCTTTAATAAAGTTTCAATTGAACATGATTTATAGCCTATGTGAAATTATATTTGTTGATGAGGTGTTTACTTAGTAAATAGGTGTACAAAACATATGCAGAACTTATATTTATATGTCCCGTCCTCCATGCCGAACATTATTTGGTGTTGCACCTGCTGCTCAAGTCTGCATTGGATGCTGACTCTCTGTGGAGGGCTTAATAAGCCACTCGCCCTCGTACGTAATTGGTTTCAGATGGAACTTAATATGGCCAACCATCTGCGGGCAGGRGCAAATGGAGTGAGTAGTGGTTAGGGCGAGGGAGGAGCCACTGATTGGGAAAGAATCTGGTTTGATTTTGTTAGCATGCTGCTAATCCAGATTTCCACATGCCACACGTTTGTTTCTTCATCGTCCAACATCTGATTAAAAAATGCTAAATTCTGTGCTAAAAGTTAGTTTGTGAAGATTCGCTTGCAGTATTTTTTGTGATAAATTTATACAAGACTTGCAATTTTTTTCAGTATATGTAGCATTTTCCTGCATATAAATAATCATTTCTGATTAGATTTCACTTGTTCCTATGACAACAGCTCAGGAAGGAAGAAAAACCTCCACTTTGACTTCAGACTATTTTCTAAAGACTTTTGCATAGAACTTCCTTTGTGGCTCGAATTAACATCTCTTACACAAACCCCCACCAGATGTCCTGACGCCTTACTGTTAATAGATAAGAATTGCCACATTCCTGTTCCGAACCCCACAAGTTCTGTTGCTTCCATCCCCCATAAGCACAAGACTGTTGGTTCCTCTTCAAAYGGATCATAAATGCCTTTAACCAGACTCTTCGGCGTGACTGAGAACAAAGGACCTACATTCTTCATTAAATGTGAAAAAAAGGAGAAAAGATAAAGGAATCTCTGTGGCTAATGTTTTCTGTCTTTTTGCTAAGAATGTCATCTAAACCAGTGGTTCCCAAAGTTGGGGTCGGGACCCAAAGTGGGGTCCTGAAAC